GTGTGAACCTGAGCACACAGGGCTTGGAAGACCTTTCAGCAAATTATTTTCCATCCTAATATGCATGCTGAATTAATAACAAAAAATATGGAGGACCTAGTTCTATTTCCAGATACTAATCTGCAAATATGACAAGTGATATAAGCAAAGTAACTCTCTGTGATGAAGTTCCTTATTCTGCAGTGGCTGGAATGCCTTGGGAATGTTGTTTGTAATTGTTCTCGTTTGAAATTGCATTCAGTTGTATTGAATTGATAATGATGAGGCACACATGACCCATCCTTCCCTGCCTTGTTAAATTAAAGCTTTTCTTCAAAGGTGAGTGTATACCTGCCAAATGGTCCATTTGATGTACGTTCTCATTCCATATCCAAAGGTCTTGTGTGCATTTATGTGATCAGAAGTTATTGAAAATAACATTTCCTTAAATTCCTGTCATTTAGTAATCTGCTATTAGGCTATACCGTTTGTAAATTTATAGCTTATATTTTTTTTAAATACCATTTTATTTTTATTTTAGATAATTATAAATTTAATATAGTATTATAGTATTATAATATTAATCTAGTTATGTTATTAATTTAATTTATATTACTTTTATTATATAATTTATATACTTTTATTATATCAATGTTATATAAATACACATATGAAGTTTATTAATTTTTATTGTTAATACCTTTAAATATATTTTTTAAAATACCCTACTTATACTTCAACATATAACCTGGGAAGGCTGTCTAATACAGTATGTATTAGTCATACAGTTACAAGGCAGATTAATCTGCATTAGTCTGATACTCATGTGAATATATCACATAAAGGAAACTGTAAGTTCCTTGCTACAGTACATTCATCTACACCCAGTGAGCTGTCCTGCAGCCTCCTTGAGTCTGGCTTTGGGCTACTGGTTTAGTCCCACTAATCAGTGCTAAGAGCTTAGTTTCTTACAGGGAGAAGTAGTCTAAGAAAGCCTTGGTGTCACTTGTTCCAGGATACCCAGGATCATCACTAGTACATTCAGTACCATACACTGGACACCTCGCTTCATTACAACAAATACTGATTTATAAAAGCTCAGAGCTACCCACTTGTCACCAGCAGTGCACTTCAGACCCCGCATCACGTGCATCCTACAGCCATGCCTGGAAGAAGAAGTCCTCAAAAAACTTCTTATCTTCAGGGATCAAGTTAAAGCTCAGACAGCTGATTTGCACTCTTTAAAAACTAAAATACACAGTACTGCTAATCCCAAGATTTGAGCATGCCAGCACCAAAGTGACAGATTTTGATAGAGATGGTGTTAAAGGGTTGTCTTTGCCTCAGCTTCTTGGCTTCAGTGTGAACCAGTTGATCGCTTAAACGAGACATTTCTTGATCCATTTCTCCCTCACCAAAGCCGTGGCCCATCCACCCAGCGCATAAATGACAAATGCCTTGCAGATTTCGAAGGGCTAAAGAGAAAAAAAATAACTGCAATAATTGAGATGTAGGCCGTATCATTTAAAAGTTGCAGAGAATCCCTCCTCTTACCAACAGTTAGGTGATCTTGTATGTGTAGATACTCAACAGTATAATGATGTTACTTTAATATTGATGGCTTAGTGTAACTTTGGCAGTAAGTTTCCATTTATATTTAGCACAGACTATGGTGGGATGTATATGCTTACCCAGTTTTTCTATAATAATGGAAAAATGTTTTGCCTTTGTATTCTTTTCTTTCGTCCCAGTGAAAACTATCACACAAGAGTACAATGGAAATCACCAAATCATAGAATGGTTTGGGTTGGAAGGGACCTTAAAGATCATCTAGTTCCAACCCCCCTGCCATCAGCAGGGACACCTTCCACTAGACCAGGTTGCTCAAATCCTCATCCAACCTGGCTTTGAAAACTTCCAGGGAGGGGGCAAATGTACGTACTCCTGCAACATCATTGTTGTCGAGCAAGTTCATATCAGGCTTTTATAAAACCCTCAAAAATTCTTACAGAGCCATCACCAAAAAAGTGATTTTTCAAATCACTTAATTCAAATTTTGACCTTTAACAGTTTTTTGCCATAATGACCTTATAGTACATTGCAGTTAGGATACACTGCAGTGGTAGTTTAAAAGGTTTTGAAACTGTTTTTCTGAAATAGTTTAAAACAAGCAATTCAGAAGCAGTGAGAATGACCCTGCAGACACCTACATGCATGTTGTCTGCTGCACGTAATTTATTTATTTTGTTCAAGAAACTGAGAATCCTGCCACTTCAGTTTGGGGCATTAGAATAAATAGGAAAGGACAGTTCCCTAGCTCTGCCTCCTTGTTTCTGCATATTTCAAACATGTCTAATTATACCTTGGTGCTTTTGCTGTCAGAAAGGATTGATACTGATGAGGATTTTTCTTTGTGCACTTTGTAGAGTAATGGTATTGGGAAAGAGCAATTCATTGAGTTCATCCCCCAGTGTCCAGAGAGGGCTGTTCCCAAGGGTGTGTTTTCTGAAATGAGATGGCACAGTTCATGGTTTCTTCCCACTGAGGATGACCACACAGCCTGTTGGATATTGGCCCTGCTAAAATCCTGTTCCCTTAATCAATGATAAGAAACACTGAATCACAAGGATGCAAGAGCTCTTAGGGAAGCATGTAACTGCACATGTGCGAACTTGCACCATGTAGTTGTGTTGTTCTTCTCTGCCATCTGCCACTGCAAAAACTATAGAGATCCAAACAGGGTTGGAGGAAAGCAATGAGAAAATATCCAACCTGTCCCAAGGTTGTGTTATTATGTAGCTGTTGTTTCTATTTAGTGCAAGAGCTGCTTCTCAGCACAAAATAAAGAGTTAAGTAGTAAAAGTAATTTCTGTAGGCATTAAGGCCAGTGATGTGAAAGGTACAGCTCAGGACTTTGGTATACAGAACTGTTAAAGAGGGGTGTTAATTTTCTGGCAGCCTAAGCAATACGTCCTGAAGCATTCAAGATTTGCTTTTCCCTTACAAAAACCTAATTTAATCTAATTTAACTGCTTGCTCAAATATCCTTTGTTAAGCAAATGAAATGTGCTTTCATTCATCTTTTGCAAAGAAGGAGGAAAGGTTCCAGAGCTTCTGGATGGAAGAGTAGGTGACTGTAGGATCTCAGACTCCATCTTCAGTTTAACAGGTTCACTCAGATGTTGGGAGTTAAAATACACACATCATTGTATTTGAGGGTTGCTGTTTTCCAGGAGTAAATGCACCATTTGCAGCTCCCACAGGAGCAGCAGCAGGACTCAGCCAGCAGCTGCTGTTTGCCCTGCTTGGGCCACGGTACCTGTTCCTCCGGCCCTTCCCGAGTAGGTGCACACACCTGTAGCAGATCCTCATACAGTCTTACCCTTCCTTCTAATGAAGAGTTGGTAATCCCAACCCTGCTCTTTTGTGAGCAAATAAGCTATGAGCTCATTATAATGAGCTATGTGTTTTCTCCCCCTCCCCCCTTTTTTTTTTTCTTTAATCTTTTAAAATAAAGTCACTTTGTCAAATGCACAGTCAGGATTAACTAGTCAGTGTTTGTTCAGAGCTTTTGATGTCTTAAGCCTTATTTGTATGGAATGCTGAATATTCTTCTTCTTGATACATTGACTTGATTATGACCAGCATCTTGATAATTTCTTTTTTTACCCTTCCAGAATCATGTGTAATTTAGAGTTTTATTCTCAGAGGTTGTATATGTTTTTTTACGTATTTGCATATTATAAGTTTACAATTATTTATATTTTTCAAAAATATTGAAGTGTTTTATATGAAGAAAAATATACTTATTTTTCTATTTTATTTTCAACATGTTTTAGCAGGTCAAGGTAGTTTATAGGTATATGAATATTGCAAATTGCTATTTGGAAGTCCACAGGCCAAACAGGGAACTACTTTTTTCTGTAGAAATGAGAGAATCCTTGAAGTAGTAGAGTTACCAGTTGTATGCTTGAATGATTTTTCTCAGTATATTACATTGTCTTATATTAGTAAGGTATCAGAGTAAAAAATTATTTTGAAGTAATTTTTGAGAAGAAAACATAAATTCTTATGGGAGTTGTTTCAGACACAGAACATTATAAAAGGTTAATGCTAAAATTTTGAATTGACCAAGAGCACAGTTTTTTATGTATTATAATAGCTTTTTTGAGGAGAAGAGAGACTGAGGATGTGTAATTTTAAATATGATGCTTCATTATTTTATCCTATTTGTTTTTTTTTTTAGTTCTAGAAGTAGGGTATATGAACAAATGTTCCTTGATGTCTTATGTATCTAATGCAACTTAATGGAATCTGTGTGTTAAATTATCTGATTCTACTACAGATTTTATGTCACCTGTTGCTACATATAAAATAACATGAACACAAGTCATTGAATGTTCTCCACATGACATATTGATAGCAGTGTACTCATCTGTGAAGATAAATGTTTGTTTACATCTGTATTATTTTAGAAGATTTCATTTCACTGGAGGAGTTGGTAGTCTATCAGTAGACAAAAGAGATTTGCTAAAATCTTTCTCTGTACAAGCAGAGTATGCTCCATTTTAGAATCTAATGAGTTGAACTTCAATGTTGAAACAAAAATGTGAACCTGAGTAAAGAAAACTATATTTCTGTTTTTTCACCCTGATAAAGCGATCAGTTTATGGACATTTATGAAAGATTTTAAATGACCATGTTTTCCCTATTTACTAACATAGTGGGGTTCAAAATTTTGATCTTTAAATTATCTTTTAAGTGGTTACTGCATCAACTGAAAAGATCTTAAATCAATGCAGTTTCATACTTCTCTTGTGATGTGTCTGTAAAATATGTATATGTGCATATACAAGTCCATGTAATATAAAAATCAAAACTAACAGCGAGCAACTTGATTTTTATTTTTCTCAGTTTGAGTATGTTTGGAAGATTTATTTTATTATCCAATATTTCTGTTTGCAGAGCTTATAGAATCCCTGGCACAGTATGTAAGAATTTATTCATTTGTTTTTATTTAGTTTGACAAAGGATATGCTTATAGCATTCGCCACAGCTATGGGAAAGAAGGAAAGAGAACTGATTATACCCCATACAGCTGCATGAAGATTATTATGTCAAATCCACCAAGTCAAGGGGATTATCATGGTGAGTTCCCTTAAAAACAAAAACAAAAACAAAAAAACAGTGGAATTCTTTGACTAGAGAAGTTACTCCCTCCAGCAGTCTCTTAAATGATATATTTAATCTTAAGGCCACAGTGGTCTTGCACTGTTCTCTTTAGATTGCACTTGATAGCTTCTGGTTTTATGTACATTGTGTAATGCAGTGCAAGGAGACTGTAAATGCTTTAAAAAAGTGACCAGTTAGAGGTGTTTGAGATATGGATTCAATTGTACAGGAATTCTGAAGTTTACTAGGCTACTTTAAAACTTCCTATCTCTATAAGACTAAACATGGAAAACCTGCACTGACTGCACCATTGTTATTCTAGTCCTGAGTTGTTCATTCAGTTGTGTCTCTAATTCTGGGACAAAAAAACCCCACTCTTATTTAAGGTCTTGGAACTTTCTGAGGTAATATTTTTACAAAAGGCTATGCTTTGAAGACCACTTGGCTCTCATTACTTGTCTTCTCCTGTTTTTCTCACATGAAAAGTCCCAGCACTATTGTTAGTAAGGAAGTAGCTAAAACTCTTTTCCTGTCAGTGAATGAGAATTGTGGACTGTTTATGTTGGGATATTTTCTGTAACTCTTGAGCCTGTGGTGCGGTGCCCTGATAACCATGCACTGGAGTAATTATTTGGGGGGGGGGGGGGGAGGGAAGGTAATTGTACACATGGGCAATTAACTTTCTTATTAATAAGCTGTTAGACAATTAGGAACAGCTTAGCTGGTCTCTTGAGTGCCTTCCTGCACTAACTCCTGGGTAAACAGCCTTGTTTGTGAGCTTGCTTGTTTTTTACTGTCAGGGTGCCCATTCCGCCACAGTGATCCTGAGCTATTGAAGCAGAAGCTGCAGTCGTACAAGATCTCTCCCAGTGGAATAACTCAGGTAAGGTATTTTGTTTAGTGCTTTCATTGATCAGGCACTACTTTTCAATTTTACTTTCTATTTGTGTAGCAATGCTGTATACAATGTGTCAGTCTCTATTGTGAAGTATCTCTTCTTATAAAAGTTTTAAACCAGAATCTTGGCTTTCTGACTCCAGTGTTCCCAGTGATATGTTGGTTATGGTCAAAACCTTTTATTGTTTAATATTATGAGTTGGTTTATTACTACAATGCAGAATTTTGTTTTACTTTGTTTTACTGCACTGTGATTAAAAAAAAAGTTTAAATGAATCTGGCAATATTTTAGAGATTTTATTTTTATTCTTGTGGTGACTTGTGGAAGACTGTTGTGTAGTCAGTAGGCTCAGTAATTGTTTTCTGTAGTAAACTTCTAATGATCCATTTCACTAACTTCTCCTAAACAGCAAAAGGACATGAAATACCTAGTGAAATTAAACAGATTTTTAGCAGCTTTTTAAAAGGTAACATTAAATTGAAAATCTATCTTATATGGCAAGGATAATGCAGAAATTGGAGGTTTTTGACGTGTATACTGAAGGAATATGACTCTCATTGCTTGGTCTAGCAAGAGGTTAAGGCTATAAAAGAATGCCATCATCTTCATTGGTGGAAGACATATAGCTTAGAGTTAAGGTGAGACAGTTCAGCAAAAAGTTGTGTGTATTAACTGCCTGAAACCTACTTGAGGAAAAACCTGCTGAAGAAGTTGTCATCTTTAGTTTGTGTGGAGTGTCACCATTCAATTCTGTCTGCCTGGTTTATGGTAGAGATAAATGCATTGTTCTGGATGGAGGGGACAGTCAGGTGGCCACATGCACAGGACAGCAAACTCAAAAGAAGCAGGTGTTTTACATCAGTTTTCCAGGACTCAGAGCTCTCTGCAATGAGTGGAAGTCCATGCTGGGACTAGTACTATTTAATATATCATCATCAGTGAGATAGACAGTGGGATTCAGTGCACCATCGACACCTTTGCTGACGACACCAAGCTGAGTGGTGTGGTTGACACACCTCAGGGATGGGATGCTATCCAAAGGGACCTGGACAAAACTGAGAAGTGGACCTCTGTGAACCTCATGAGGTTCAACAAGGTCAAGTGCAAGGTCCTGCACCCAGGTTGAGGCAATCCCTGGTATCAATACAGGCTGGGGGATGAAGGCATTGAGACCAACCCGGCAGCAATGGACTTGGGGGTCCTGATGGATGAAAAACTGGACAAGAGCTGGGAATATACACTTGCAGCCCAGAAGGCTGACCATATCCTGGGCTGCATCAAGAGAAGAGTGGCCAGCAGATTGAGGGAGGTGATTCTTCCCCTCTACTCTGCTCTGGTGAGACCCCACCTGGAGTACTGCGTCCAGCTCAGGTGTCCTCAGCACAAGATAGACATGGATCTGTTGGGCTAGGTCCAGAGGAGGGCTACAAAACTGATCAGAGGGCTGGAGCACCTCTCCTATGAGGACAGGCTGAGAGAGTTGGGGATGTTCAGCCTGGAGAATTGAAGGCTCTGGTGTGACCTTATTGTGGCCTTTCAATACTTGAAGGGAGCCTATAAGAAAGATGGGGACAGACTTCTGAGCAGGACATTTAGTGATAGGACAAAGGGTAATGGTTTTAACTAAAAGAGGATAGATTTAGACTAAATGTAGGGAAGAAATATTTTGCAATTAGGGTGGTGAAACACTGGGACAGGTTGCCCAGAGAGGTGGTAGAAGCCCCATCCCTGGCAACGTTCAAGGTCAGGCTGGATGAGGCTCTGAGCAACCTGATCTAGTTGAAGCTGTCTCTGCTGACTGCAGGGGGGTTGGACTGAATGAACTTTAAAGGCCCCTTCCAACCCAAACCAGTTTATGATTCTACACATCCACTCACTGAAAGACAGAGTGCAAAGTAGTTGAGTCATCAACAAATATGTGTGATGGTGTCACTGGTGAGACAGTAAATAACAGCCTGTAGTGGATCTGGATACTGATTTGGTTTGGGTTGGTTGGTTTGCTTTAAGAATAAGGGAGATTAGAACTATACCCCTCCTTGCTTTTCTCACACAGTTGCTCACTTGCTCCCCACCCTGGTGTTGTGTTTCCTGAAGTCTCAAATTTCCCTCCCAGCAAGGGAATCACTGCTGGTCTGGGATGATGGGGCAGAAAGTTGTTTCAATACCTGCTTTGCAGCTGCTTGTGGTTAACAGTCTCGGGCATTACAGGCTGTGGTCCCAGGACATTCCCCCGCATTCATCTCTATGCATCTCTGATCTCCAGGATCATCCTCAGCTTCCCAGGATCTTTACCCTCATCTTTCTGGGCTTCCAAGCCCAATTTTTTCTTCATCTAAATACTCTGTGAAACCTATATTAAGGTTTCTAACTGGTAGCTCTGTTTCATGTCTCTTTACTAATGGGAAGATCAGAACATGTCACTTTTTTCCCCAGCATTCATCTCTATGCATCTCTGATCTCCAGGATCATCCTCAGCTTCCCAGGATCTTTACCCTCATCTTTCTGGGCTTCCAAGCCCAATTTTTTCTTCATCTAAATACTCTGTGAAACCTATATTAAGGTTTCTAACTGGTAGCTCTGTTTCATGTCTCTTTACTAATGGGAAGATCAGAACATGTCACTTTTGTTTAGTCCAAAAATTATCAAAATTTACAACCAGCCCATACCAGATGCAGCTAGCTAGCAGGTTCATACTTAATGATTTGAAAATTTATTTTTGGCTGTTTTACAAGCCTCAGTATGAAATCTTCACAAAAGTGACTTAGAATCAACTGTTATTTGCTCAACTGTTTCACATCTTTACTTCTTGATGGTGATACTGAGGGAGTTATGGGACTCCCTGCAGTGGTAACAGGTGTCAGATCACGTAAACAGTAGACTTCTGCGTTCTAGGTTAGTAGTGCTGCATGCTTCTCTCTATTGTCAAGGAGCTGCTTTAAGGACTTCAAATGAAAGCTCAAGACTTGCAGTCCCTGTTGAGTACAAATTACAGCATTCTAGAAATCGTGGTGAGAGGTAACGTATCAGGCCTTTACTGGACTTGAGAAGATATGACTTACTGAACTGACTCAGCTAACAACTGGCTACATAGAAATCACTCATCTTCAGACATAAATATTTGCTTTTATTTTTTTCCCCAAAGGTTTAGCTATATCATTTCCTCTGTGAGAACCCAGTCTCCCAGCAGCATCTTAACTTAGCTGTTTGTTATTTTTTTGAACTAATGGGCACTTGCTTCCTTTTTTGCCTTTCTAGGAATAAGGACTTTAGCTGATGGCAGTTGCAACAGAACAATAGGATCTTTTTTTTTTTTTAAATTCACCAGTTCTCTCAATTTTAAGATAATACTAATCCTTAAAATGAACTGTAGATTTTTGCTTATTATAGTGGTGGCTAAATTAAATTTTTTTTTTTTTAATTCACCAGTTCTCTCAATTTTAAGGTAATACTAATCCTTAAAATGAACTGTAGAGTTTTGCTTATTATAGTGGTGGCTAAATTAAAATCTTAAAACAGGGTACCCTTACACATTTGCTGCCAAGAAATTTTAAAAAAGCATTACACCTTCGATCTAGAAATTGTACATTATTCGGGTTTCTCAAATAGGTTAAGACTCCTTGTTCACTGTCCAAAATCTCCCAGGTAGTTATCTGCCTGAGTTACTACATGAAAACCTGTAAATGCTTTAGAATTATTAAATCTTTCAAAGTGGACAGTGTAAAAGTCTTGAAAGTAAGATTATTCAGGGAAACTTCATATAAAGTGAAAATAAATCTTTGTGGCAATCTGGTGTAGATTTGTGTAAATATAAATGCTGAAAGTTTCCACATATTTTTCTATAGATGGGCAACATTTATCTATTGGAGACAATGTTTAGCCTTTCCATTATTTTGAGAAAAATAGTTGTGTGTTAGGAGTATGTCTCCCTCATTTTTTCTGAGATTTTACTTTCTCTGACTTACTCTTACAGTTTCCCAGCTAAAATATGTGCCTTGTTTAATTGTCTTGTATTTGGTTTATTTTTCAAGTGTGAACATCCTTATTGATTTCACTAGAACTACTTTTGTGCATAAGCTGAAAGGATACAAATTTAACCAGCTGATGCTTCACCTTATTTTCTGATATTAAAACTTTCTGATATTCTCATTACTCTGATATAATATGTCTTGATCAACTCCAGTGACTCTTTCAGTGTGATTTTATTGGTGCTATGGAAAACAAAGAATGAACATATGAAATAAAAATTGTTCTTGAAACTGCTGTGTTGCAAACTTAGAATGTACATGAAGCAAATGCTTCAATTTAATTTATTCTTTAACTTTTTAAAAAGTATTTTAAATGCGTGCTTTCATACTTGATAGCAGTCCAGACTTTGACTCAGCATTTCCTTGCAACAGAGGAATGTGGGTTATCCATAGTATCTAAAACCAGGCATGACTGTCTTTTAAAATAGGCGGCTGTAAACTCATGCAGGATTTGTCATTAAATGAAAATGTGTCACTGAGAAATAGCAAAAAAAAATTTCTAATCATAAAATGTACATTTTTATAGCACTATTTTAAACTATGTGAAATCAGAGAAGTGGAATACTTGGATGCATTAGACCTTCTTGCCTTTGATGTTCACACCACTGACTTTCAGCTGTGGACTGTATAAAGACAGAACCAACTAGCATTAGAACTGTTTCCTTCTAAAATTATTAACTCATTTTAAATTAATGTCTGTCTTCATTTAATAAGCTGCCCAGTGATTGCTGCAGCAAATACAGGTGCATGTTGATACAGTCTTTTCATTCAGACATTCACTCTTCTGTTAAGTATTTATTGATTTCCTTACTGACATACATAAAATAACTTCGGGCTAGAAAACCTATCCATTAAAAATAGAGAAAAAAAATATGGGTATTTTTAAGAGACACTAATAAAATACCTTACTCTGGATCATGACTGTCTCTTCCTTTTACCTTTGTAAAGCATACTAGAATATAGGTGAGTTTTGTTGTTTCATAGTTGTGATGCAAATTGCAGGGGAGAAGTTGATCTGTTACAGTGCCCTAAATATTACCATGGGCAATGCTGAACACTGTGATCCAGTATTCTTCACTACAAAAGAAGTCAAAGAGTATAAAAGGAACAGAAGCTCTGGCAAAGCTGTAACAATAATTTTCTAGCCTGTGAATCCCTGAGGGAAAACAGAGCTTAAATCTGAGAAAATTTTACTATACATGTATACACTGTAAACGTGAAACCTTCAAAATCAGTTTAAAATATAAAGGGAATATTCAGAAGCAGCAAAAAGGATGAATGCCTGTACTGACCAGGAGGCAAAGGGCACTAGGGAGTCCTGGGGCAGGATGTAATATTGAGGTGATCACAAACTGACCTGAAGCAGAAGGAAACTGGAATGTGTTCAGATATGTTCCAGCAGTTGCACCCAATCGTATCTTTAGTCACCTTTAAAATAAAAAGAAGGTTAGAAATGAGTCATACTTAAATGAATCTATAGTAGAAGGATTTCTGTTTTTAAAATATAAGGTAATTCTGCAATTTTCAAATAAAACAAACTAACTTTGAATAAGTGAAAATAACAATGGATAATTGCAGAGCCCCAACTATCCTGCTATGCAGCATCTTAGCTTTGAATGCCAAGGATCTATAAAGCAGGTGGCTGTGTACAGCTGCCAAACATCATCTTAACCTCATTAGTAGTCAGTAAAGCTACATCAGAAAAGCAAGTTGCAGATGGCAGTGAAAGAAAAGGCACATAAGAACTAAAAAAAACAGTCCTTGAGTATGTACTTTTACTTGCAAAATAAAGCAATTTAGTGTAAATGTCTTAATATAGGTAGAGGCAAAAGATTGCTGCTGTGAATTAATATAGTTTTGAGTAGAGGTCTGCTTCTGGGTAATGCCAGTGAGAAGCAGCTGCAAGCTTGCCTTTTTCATTATGTGCACAAATGTAATAGGAAAGGTAATATTTATTATGAATTATAATTCTGTTTTATTTAAATAGAGGATTGTTAGTTTCTCACACACAGAAGACTCCTTTCTAGCTGGACTCCATTCTATTGCTTTTTTTAACCCTTTTTTCTTTCTTCTCTTAGCAACTTCTTCCCTATTAAAGCCAGTTAATCTACTAAACCTGTTCTTTGTATATATTTAATGTGCCCCTTATTCTTCAACCCCATCATATATGCAGAATGTGAAGCTGGTCCCCTGTGATGTGACCAATTTGAAGTTACACATGTGCTAGTTTTATCTGCCTTCTGGCTGCCTCTCAGAATGGGTAGGAGCTCAATTAGAAGTGTTCTTCCCTGAATGAGCCACAAATGTTGATTTGGCTTTTCTACCCAACCACAACTTGTAATCAACGTGTAGGAATTGTATAGCTTTGATATCTCTACCTCAGTCAAATCTGACTGAAATTGCCCAACCAGTCGAAGCTGGGGAGATGATGTGTTGGAGAAGGTAAAGGAGCAGGAGTAAGATGATGACTACCTGTGCAATCATGTACACTAATAAATTTAACAAACTGGATGAAAGTCTCTGGTCTGTTCTGGTGAGCATTCTGTTTTGTGGAGCACTCTATCAGTGTCAGGGAAGAGAAGCGCCATGAAGAACTAGTTACCAGACTTCACTGGAGAATGCTGGTAGAGGTTCCTCTAACAGACATTTTCCAAGATATAGGTCTTCGTAGCCGTACATCAGAAAAATCTGTGTGGTGACCTAACAGCAGCCCCTGAGAGGTCTGAGAAGGAGTCTAGAGGGAGTGGGACAGTAGTTCCTGAAGTGAAGTTTCAGTTTCACTTAGTAGCTGGGCAATAAAGATCAAGCTGCTGCAAAATAACATGGTTGCTCTTTAAGAATTTGAAGTCCCTCAAGACAATTACAGCTTTCATATGGCAGCAGTATCAATTCAGTGAAGTCCTTTTCTCCAACTTACAGGTGGATCAGGATTTTCCCAAGGATGCGCCAAGGGCTTAAATGGGCTTTGTTTCAGAATAGTTTGCTCAGAATAACCTCTCTTAGAAAACTGGAGTTTATTTACAAATGCCCTTTTTTTCTGTAATCATCTGTGCTGTCATCGGTCAGCGATCCTTCTTCTGATATCTGTCACTTGAAGTTCCCATTTTTCCGCTAGACTGTCAGAGAAGACAACAGCAGCTTGATCTCGCATCCTGTGAATCATTGTGAGCTGGCAAATCAAAAGCTTTGATGATCCTTGTCTTTTCTGCTTTGCAGGATAGCTGGATAACGGCGTCATTGATACAAAAAGCAGCTATGCCTTTGTGGTCTGCAATTGAGAGGTTAAGCCATAGAATGATTACTGGCCTTTTAACTGATCAACTTCTTCAAAAAGTTCTCTTAAATTACAAGAGAGCCTTGATGCTTTTAAACTTTTGGGGCTTATACTCAGAATTTGTCTATGCTTAAGTTTTTGTTTCCTTACTTAAGGTTCTGAGACTTAAAATATGTTTACATTTGAATTTAGAGAACTTTTTATTTATATAATTTATATTGGGTGTAATCTTGATTAAATGAACAATACTTTTGTGAAAACCTAACGTATTTATGAACTAGATTAAATTAGTTGACTTTTTTCAACTGAAAAATTCAGATTGGAAAAGTCTGAATGCTACAGAACATCATGAGTATTTCTTTCAACTAACCAGCAGTCATACAGGCCTTCTGATCATTACTCCAAATTATTTGAAAAATACCTTTTAAAAAAGTACATACATACAAAATGGTTTGCATTTACTTAAAAATAGCTCTTCTGCATTGTATAGATTTTATTGTAGGGAACAAACAGGAAAACATATATAGAGGAAATGTTAAGAAGAGATGAGCTTTCTTCAATCCTTAACTACTTAATGTAACACTGATTTTTTTCAGTCAATTTCAAAGGAGGGAGGAGGTTAAAAAAAAAAGTAAAATATAGCCAGATTTCAGACTTCATTGCCTAGTTGGCCTTGGCCTTGATCTTTTACAGAAGATTTAACAGGAGGTGGCAAGAGGGATAGAAATATAATCAGTTGAGCTATTTCAGAGAAACAATGCGGCTAAGTACTTTCTTGGCAGTGTGTTGCTGTTTTTATCCATCCAGCAAATGTAATTTATTTATACATCTGTCAATAAGTACAAGGCGGCATCCGATAATGAGTACAGCTGGGACTTAAGCTGGAGTGTATCGCTGTGTTTGACACAAAGGTCAAGCTTGGGAAAGGGGCTTGAAATTAACATTTCTTGAAAACTATTTTTCCTTCCACTGAGGCTATCTCTTAATTCCAGCAATTTTCTCTGTTTGATAAGCAGAGAGAGCATACATTTTGATTATATAAAAGAGGGAGGAAATGATGAAACTTTAAAAAATTTCAACCGGCATTGCATTCTGGTGATAAGAATGGGACTTTGTGCAGCACAGAAGAGATTACCTGAAGTAGAATTGGGAAGCAAATTGTATTTACAAAAGATGGCATGATTTTCCTAATAGGTGTTCAAAACAGGCTATTCACTCACATATTCTGCTGAGCTTGACTAGAAATAACTTCATTTCAAAAAGGAGAAATCTGATTGAACGTAAAAGCATTCCCCTCTCACAGATGCTGTCTAAAGGATTTGCATTAAATGTTCTTGATGGGAGCACAGTAGTATTTTATTTTGCATCTGCATGAACTGGTAATGTGAAAAATAAAAATACAAATCGTGTACTTGATTGCTTCATGCTTCAACCACTTGAATAACTAGATTTATGCCTGCAATTATGGAAGAGATGTTGCAATACGACAGTTTGACAATAACTGTCACAATTATATTACCAAAATATAGATTCAACTTATTCTTGGAGTTAAGAGTATTGAAATTACATTTTGAGGACCAGACGTATCTTCCTATGGTTTTATCTTGTTTTTAATATAGCCGGGTTATTTTTAAAGAACTATAGTATGCCTAAATGTTGTCAGCTGTTAGTAGGATACGCAACAGTCAAAGATGCCTTGTGCTGCGAAGTTCCATGAGGTGTATACAACACTGTTGTGAAATACGTCATCGTGGTAAGTATCAATGAGATGTCATTGTGCTGCTTCTGAATTCTTTACACTTTTCTCCCTCTGTATAGATCCTGGAACTGGTGAAGGGCATGCATTACCAGCTGGCCTGTCAGAAGTACTTTGAGTTGACGCATGATGTAAGTAGCTAGTAATTTTTGTTAAACTGTAATCACTGTCTTGGTCTTGAGGAAGGCCTTGGAAATCATGCATGAAGTCCAGAGACTATTTGCAGTTTTCCACATCCATCATTAGTTGTCTTGCCTTGTTAGTTGTAATTTCAATAATTCCAAATATTCTTTTGTCATTTTTTGCATTTATATATTGATGTTATTAATACCCAGACAGTACAAGATGCGGTAAAAGGTTACGCTTTCTTCCTGAAAATGTTAATATTGAATTTTATCTATTTCAAGCCATTTAACTTTCTCAGTATCCTGTTTTTAATCAAATTTGTGGGTTTTAATCTATTATGCAAGTTTGGTATTTTGAGATATACCTTAAAATAAACAAAAAGCATCTCAAAATATAATTATAACTCTAATCTCCCAGCATGTGCATAGTTAATATCGTTAATTTTCACTTGGTATTTTTTCACATCTTCAGTCATGTGTGATTACTTTTTAAATCAAGATGAACATTCTCAGAGCTTTCCCATTTGCTTAATCATGGGCAAAGTTAAAGTCAGATCCTCCACAGAATTTTAAGATAGCAAATGGTCACAATCCATCTCCTAAGTGATTCCTTAATTCAGGAACCAGCTTTCGCACTGGTTCAAGATTCCTTGTCATCAAGAAAAAACAGTGAAGCACAGCCCTGCTTGTACCTTTATTCTTCCTACAATGCAAAAAATTGAAACATCCCTTTCAAACAGCAGACTATAGAACAGCCTTGCTAAAGATATGAATGAGGATTAGAGGACCCACCCAGAGACATTTACCATTGACTTTTTTGTTCTTACTAGTTTTCACATTTGATTTAAATGAAACTGTCTTTCCAAATTTCCAGTAATCATATGTGTGAATGTATAGCAAAAGTATACTCTGAACCCATATCCAGTGTAGTTTTGGCAGCTGTGATTTGAGAGAAATGCATTGTCTTACAGTCTTAGGAAATGATAAAACAGCTCTAATAATCTGGAAGGAAATTCAAAATTCTGTACAATTTGGAAATTACATAACACTTGCCCTGTGTAAGGCTGAGTCAGTAAAAATAATATTTTCCCAAGATGAGTGTAGACCTCAAGGTGAACATGCACCAAAGGATAAATCAGCACGGTCAGCACATTGCCAAAGATCTGTTGCATTTTAGGATACCTTCTTTCCATTCTTCTATGGCAAATTCCAGAGTTTTTTGGGGGTTTTTTTTGTTTGTTTGTTTGTTTTTGGTTTTTTATCCTTATGGTAGTATAAATATCTGTCTTTGCTGCTTGTACTTAGAATCATCTTCCTGCTTTACTGTTAATAAGTCTTTTATTTCAGTGAGAGAAAGCAGAACACACAGAAGGGGGCTTTCTGTACTTTGAATGGCACATGCTTATAAGGGCAATTTTTTTAGAGAATTTCACTGCTAAGCTTGTTATCAGCCTGCTTGGAATGGTTTTTCTGTCCTACAACTACATGCTTTAGTAATATTTTTTTTTTTTTTTCCCATGAGGTAGTTAAAAGATGTATCTCTGAAGTTGATGACACCTAATTAGACAATCATGCTTCTGCTTTACTGTGTATCACTAGCAAAGCTTTTCCGTGGAGATATTTCTGAAGAATCAATCAGCATAACATTGTTACTGTTTCTGCAAATAGGTGAACAATCTTAAGTAAAATTTTCCTTGAAATAATGGACTGGCTGACATGGAGAATTTCAGTTTCAATTATGTAAAAAATTTACCAAGAAAGTGTTTGATAAATGCTGGGCAGAGCTGTTAGTGTTACCTATAATTCTTGAAAGTTACAGCGTCGATGTGTATTACATCTACTATGAATTACTTTGTAGTGGAGACTTGTTTAAGATTACAATATTTTTCTGAATTCATGGGGTCAGTTGCACACTATGTCTACTTAAGGACTGTCTTTGCATTTCCTCCCCATCACCCTGTCTCAAGTTTGTACTTTATCTTATATTCACGCTGACAGCAGCTTTGCTGGTGGCTTAAGTAGCCTAGTGCTTGGCACTAAGACCATGCTAATAAATCCAGCTGGACTAGAGTGAGAACGTTTAGATCTATTTTTTGGGGATGTGGGTTGTGTCTTTGCACCTTAGTGCTACTGGTCCAAATAGCACAAGTTACCTAAAAGCTGCTTCTCTGCACATCCTCTGTAAGCTGGGCTTGTTAACTTTAATGCTACGCTTCCGAACATTGGTTTCACTATCTCACAGACACAGAACAAAAGCAACCATCATTTGTGTGGTCCAGTGCATTGTCTTCAGACAGGAACTAATGTATTAAGGAAATGTACGTGTATGCAATTTGTTAAGTCTTTCAGTAAGTGTGGAAAAGGAAAGCACTGCGTATAGTGCATGAATGGTTTTACCGTGTTTTTCAAGTTCTGGGATTTTAGGGCATACTCGTTTTCAGAAGAGTTATTTTCTAAATAATAACACTGTAATTTGATCAAGACAAGCTGTCCTGTATATATGAAGAAAGAAAGGTCTTTTGACTTGATAGAAATATGCCTGAATGGCCTGTAGGGTAGATATTTTCAAACATTTTCATATTTTAATAAGAATAAACTATGTTTATATGGTAAGTAGAGTAAGCATTCAGTCAAATACTACCAAAATACTAAAGTATCTTTCTTGATGGTCAGATTTGGATTTTAAGCTATATAGAAAGCATCATAACTCTTTGAAGTTCTAATATTTGTATATTAGAATATATTTGTATGTTAGTTGCCAAAGGAACTAGTAACATTAATATTGTTTATATTAATATTTCTGTATTAGTTACTCGTTACAGTTATGGCTGTACTGGATGATTATATATTAATGTTTATCTCTAAACATTTTATTCTTGAGCACTCATATTTTACAGTCCTTGTGTATTTTTAAGAAGTAAATGAAATCTGACAAATAGAAAACCTTCTGGTATAGAAGAATCACTTCTGTTTTTTCTTAGTTCATAGTGATCAAATTGCAAGAATATTGTACTTTTTTTTTTTTTTAAAGGAATGTGGTTAATTGATATAATTTACTGTAGCACCGTGATTGCTTCACATGGTTTTTCTGTAATATCAGCTGTAGCATTATCAGCAGTAATTTTGAAAGTTCTTGGTTAAAACCCAAAGATACTTTAGCTACAAAATTATTGTTCCAACTTTTTCAAAACAATATTTGCCATAGCAGCAATACAGACCTAGAGTTGGTATGAAAGCCAATATGTGCAAAATGTGTTGAATCAAAAAAAAGTCTTGTGTTGGTATTACCTACTAAATGGAACAAACAGTTCTGTCCAAAACTGACAGGCCTTTTCACTTGGGTCAATACATGTTATAAGCTTAAATTTTTGACTGCACAGAAAATACGTTTTTCTTTGGACATAGTGGATTCCAGATGGATTTACAGGTGTGAATGGATAAAGCTGTTAGGGGAATAGTTTCTCTTATTTCTGGTAGTAAGTTTGAGGTAACTTACAGCTAAGTTAATGATGAAGCTTTTAAAGTTGAAATGCTTTGATCTGTATTACCTAAAAACATTGTAAAACTTATGTAAAGTAACACGAGCAGTTTAACATAAAAAAGCCAGGAAATCTGTGTGTGCTTTACCTCCATTTTTGTGGTCAAATTCCTTGTGTATTTCCAGCCAGACCAGAATGTTTTTACTGAGAGAACTGCTCAATGAACTTCCTTGAAAATTACACAGAACAGAATTGCTTATGTATCACTATATCACAAATGAAGATGAAAGTTGTGAACAAAACTTCCCCTTTTTTTTTCTTCAGGCTCTCAAAAAAAGGTGATAGTATGAATAGGCAGAATTCTTTTAATTAAAATAATCAACTAAGCTTCATCCGCTAGAACTTTATTTTAGTAGCATTCCGGTTGGAAAAGGAGAAATGGTACATGGAATCAAACTACAATTTTCAGTAACAACCTGCAAATGGCTTTTAGCCAAATAACGTAAATCACCTCTGAAAACATGATTGTAGGCTTTGTTCATACAATGAGCTGCTGTTGGGGAAAGAGGAGTTTAGAACAAAATTGAGAGTTACAAAGAGAATCTTAAATTGGTCTGAAGAAAACTTGAGATTTTAAGGTTAAAAAAAACAGAACTAATTAAGAGCTGCTTCTAGGAAAGCCAGCTTTTCACTGTATCACTTCTTTTTAAGCCTTTTTGGTGTAAAGAAGTAATTTAGTTCCCACATAATGGAAATTGGCACTCAGATGAAAGCTGGCTGGACGAAACGAAACTTATCCAGATAAGACTAAAATTAAATTCAGTGGTGACTTTGAGGTTTGATTTTTTTTTTCTTCTTTTTTTTTCTTTTTGCCTTTCATTTTGAGTACAAAATTAGTGTGCTAGGCCTGTCACTTATTTTTAAGATTTTTCAGGCAAAGTCACTTACTACAGTTGCTAATGTCTTCTTCGTGTCGGAATTAGATTTTGTTATACCTATCTCCATTTTCTGATGGAGCTAAGCTAGGCAGTGGTAATGCATTTAATTAGGGTTTCAGTTAAAGTGCACATTGATCCTCTGCTTTATGATTTTTCACAAGTGGGTGAAATTTAAGCTGATGTTTTTTGACATATTAAATCAATCACAGTATATGTCCTCATGAGACACCCTGTGTGTGCAGAGTTGCTTGCTGTGCTTGAATTGGCCCTACTCTTCTGGGTAAAAGGGAAGATAGTGGCAGCAGAAAATTACCAGCATATGGCTCACAGTCTTCCTTGGTTTCTTGTATCCCAGGTTTGGGAAGTTTTCCAGATTTTTTTAAGAACAGTATTTTTCTTAAAATGTTCTTAGTATCCACGTGAACTGACAGACCTATAAAAGGTGTGGATTGCCTGAATGTGAGATGGAGGCATCTTTTAAAATAAGCATTTCCAACTTCTGAGCCCCCGAAAAAAGGTACAAAGGTTATAACTGAAATTTGTAGTAAATATGTCAGAATAGCTCGCTCCTAAAACTGAAAGCTTTGTTCATTTGAAATATTTGATGAGCATTAATTTCACGTTAATTTATCAAATAATAACTGAAAGAATGCACCTGCTAGTAGAAAGTAGCAATAAAAATATGCTGCACCTTATGTTCGTTTCCTGTATTCTTTTCCAGTGAAAACTAAATGTTCTTTGGTAGTGGTTGTGCATCTAGTTTCAGGATGTTGATGTTGGCACTGATGGAGCAGAGATAAGCTTGATCTATTGGGCTTCTGTCTTAGCCTTGTGCTATGTAATTATTGCATTTGTGGCTACTGGAGAAAACAGGGAAAGAAGTGAAGCTACCCGTTCCCATTCACAGTTTCACACTGATGCATAAGATCTAGATTTATATTGTGCAGTTGCTACAACTTGTAGTAGTATTCTCTACTGCCATTTGCACTCTAGACTTGTCTCAATCTCTCTTTTGGGTAGGGAAGTGCTGTTTTAAGATATGGGTTCAATTGTCCTACATCTGTATAGACATACCATTTTGCTTATATTGTTTTATATGCTTTGGGGTGTTATTTTTCTTTGCTACAGCAAAGACAGTGTGAAATATTTTTTGAATCTGCCAAAGCAGTAATTTTATTTCTATCATGAAGGAAGAAAATTTTGTGATGGAAGTAAATCTATGTCGTGCTAATATTTACTGGAATAGTATTTACAAACCGACGCCTTTTTCTTCAGCAAAATTGGAACTTATTAAACTGCTAATTAATTTTTTCTTGAATGTGAAAAATATGACTTTTTTGAAATAAATATAATAACTCACTGTTCTTTTCCTTTTATATGCAGGTTGAAGACATTGGGTTTTCTTTGAATCATCCTAATCAGTATTTTACAGAGAGTCAAAGGCTATTAAGTGGTGGTAGAGAAGTGAAGAGAGAACCAAGTAATTCAGGAAACTCTCAACAAAAAAGTAACAGTCAGGAAAGTGTGACTTCAAATTCTACTCCCGCCTCTTCAAATACAGCTGCTGATGCAGAACTGGAGGGACTGGAGGCATACTTCACTGAAGACTAAGAAGCTATGTTACTTGTTTTTTTTGTTTGGTTTTTCTTTCTTTCTTTCATTCTTTCCCTTCTCTATCTGGGTTTGTCCCTATACTAAGGAATATGTGCTTCACTATCTGGAATACACAGGCATTTAGTGCTTTGGATAGGCTGAAGAAAAGAAAGATAGATGCTGAAGCTGTAATTGCATCCAGTACTTATTCTCACTGCTTAAGGATACTGTTTTATATGGCACGTTGAAGGACAGGAAATGAAATTTCCTTCCCAATTATTAGGTGATTTTTGTCTGAGTTACCTTTTTTTGTTTTCTTGAAAATATTTAAATATTTTTATCCCATTTTGTGGTACCTTTTCTATGTTTCTTCTTAATAAATTGAAAAAAAAAAATGTGGTATCTTCTTTATATTTGGATGGGTAACTAAGGAGGAGTTGTGATATAAATTACCCACTGGAGGAGTCTTGTCTGTCTCTTTTCTACATGAGGAGCTGAAGGAAATCAGCTTCCTAATTTGTGTACCTTGACATTAAATTTAGAGAGCTGGTTTTGGTGCTTGAAATAAAACAAGCAGAGTTTAGACACCTGTATATAAGAAGGTAATCCTAAAAGATGATGCTCCTTTTTAATTTTAGAGTTTCCTCAGTGCTTGAGCATGGTTGGAACCTCCTGTGTCCTGCTAAGCTAAACAGCCATCTGAATGAAACTTGTGTCACCTAAATTCCACCCATTCCCGCCAAAGCCCAAGTCACCTAACACATGGATGGCATTTAGTTGAGCAACTGCCACCATGTATCTAATTAGAGCTGGTATTTTATATCATGCTTTTAGAGTATTCTCCTGGGGATTTGGAAGGCCTGAATTTTATTTTATCTGATGCTTAAGGAGTTTCAGGAGGTTAGCCCTTCCCTGGAGAGTGACCTAGCTGCTGGTATAGCCCTGTAACCACATAAACATGATATTGTCTTTGCTAGTAACTTGCGTTAATTCTGCAAGGCCTTGGCATGAAGACTCACCAAGCTTGATTTTTCTGGGCTTATCTTGCCCTACCTGAAGCTTTGTTTTAACCATAACAGCAACTGTCAAATGACAGCCTAGTTTTCTACAATTGTGTGGTGTACTGCCTGTGTTTATAAAGATTTTGATATATTTCTGTAGCTAATCACAGAATCACAGAATGTTGGGGATTGGAAGGCATCTCGAAAGATCATCTAGTCCAATCCCCCTGCCAGAGCAGGAACCTAAACGAGATCATATAGAAAGGCGTCCAGTCGGGTCTTGATATGATTATGCAGCAGTAAAAACCACCGACAGCCCTCAAACCCCATTCTTTTACAAGTTGAAAAGAAAATGTGTTTCTGCAGTAAAGCATTGCAACTGGATCTGTTTGTAAGCATCAGCTCTGCTTTAAGTGGCTCTTTAAAATAAAATTCTGTTGAGTTTTGCACCTTGTGGGGGGAAAAAAACCAACACAGGACACACAAAACATCCGAAGTTTGAAACTGTTCTGAACAAGATACTTCTGTATTCTTGGTCAGTAAGGAGATACTAAGATAATACGTGGTTGTATTTCTGAGGGGATGTACGCAACTGTGCCTGTTGCCAAAAGACAGCCCTGTGTGGCCACGATGTTCATGTAAGAAGTACTCTTTGTAACATCTGACCTGAAATGTACCACAGTTTAAAGAGGCAGGTGTTTCAAAAGGAACACTGGTCCATAGCTTGTAATCTTTTGAAGTGCTGGCATCAAAGTCAATAAACCAGTCTCTGACTTTAAAGCCTTTCAGGGTCTAATGAAGAAGGGACCTTTACTATTGGGTGTTCTGCAGAAGGAAGGGTGAGGAGCTCACAAGTCATGTGTCGTTTACAAAGTGCCCTGCTGAGATGTGGAGCAAGGGCTATGTCAAGAGTAGCCCATACCATGGCGTGATAAGGATGGATCTGTGGAGCAAAACAATTGATGCTGAGCACGCGGAAAGCCTTTCAGGGTCTAATGAAGAAGGGACCTTTACTATTGGGTGTTCTGCAGAAGGAAGGGTGAGGAGCTCACAAGTCATGTGTCGTTTACAAAGTGCCCTGCTGAGATGTGGAGCAAGGGCTATGTCAAGAGTAGCCCATACCATGGCGTGATAAGGATGGATCTGTGGAGCAAAACAATTGATGCTGAGCACGCGGCATTAGCCTTATGATATGGCTGGAGTGGTCATTTGCAGATAGAGGAGCGTTGTAGAGTGCACAGTTTGGGTGAATTTCTTCCAAAAGGGATCCAGTTTGCATGTTTCCAGACCCAGCGAATGCTGTGAGCCAAAGCAGAGCAAGTGGACATGATGGAGAGATTCCCTTGGAAGATGCCTGGTAGCAAGGATACATTTGGAGGGTGAGATAAGGCAACATGTTTGTGATACAGATGCTTTGTGGTGCTGTTATTTTCACATGGTTGTGAAATGCGATGTTTGTCGTGCTTTCTACTATAGAAATTTACTGTGTCAAAGATTTACTGTTTGAAAGACCTATTTTCCCACAAATCTGGTAATATGCTAAATACAATAAAAGGTTTCCAGACCTGTCCAGGGAGAGCAGGACTTGGTGATTAGGCTGCAAAAAGCAGGAAGATGTATATGAACTCTCAATATCTCTTAAAACGAAAATGACAACCACAATGGAAGCATCATAAGATGCTGTGTTTCTGACTGAAATGCAACTTCTCAGCCAAGTTGAAGATGTTTTGTCATATAATCATAAACCTTAATTTAGATGGTTCATGAATATGGGATAGTGAAAAGGACATTAGTGGAGCAGAAGCAGATATGGCATAACCTTAATATTTATTTTGCAGAAGAACATTACGTTCTACTCAGGATCAGAGTTGTATCGTGGGAGTTGCTATGTAAACAGAAAGTCTCTGCCATGCTTAATGGCAGCACTTACAAAGTGAACTTCAGTAAAAATCAAGTTAGATCAGAAGAAACATCTTTGCTCAAACTGAACCAGTCAAATTGATGCATGAACTACTGGATGAAATGTAATGGTCTGTGTTGTGCTCTTGAAAGTAGATGATCCAACTGGCCCTTTTGAACATTAAAGTCTGACGCTTGGATTTATTTTTAGGTTTAATAAGAACTTAACCTCCCAAGCTACCCAGTGTTGGTTCAGACAGTTGCTCTGGTGCTTCTGGGTAGAATGTAAAGGCAATCTAAGTAGACAGATCCAAGGGTTAGAAACGTGTGAGTCAGCTCCTCATTGTTCGTATCTTTGGAGTGTCAGTGGTTTGGCCAACTCCAGTTTTCAGAGAAATGGTTGGCTATAGAAAAATATCAGGAAACCTGTTGAATGCCATTAATTCTACTCTGATGTCTGGTGTTGGAGCATAACTGAAAATATGTACTATTTTTAACATGCAGTAGTTAAAAATAGTTATAAGTGCTGTTGCTGTGTGATTTTGAATGGAAAAAAGGAGAATCCTTGTCAACTTAGAAAGGAGACTGGGGGTTTCTTACGCTGTCTCTCTGTTACATCAGGAGGCACTGTTGAAGGTAATGGTTTTATCTACAGCTAATCACATTTTTCTCTTTATTATGATGTCCTAAGGGATGATTGTAAAACTGCATTTTTCAGGATCTAGTATTAATAGAAACGTAATTTTTAACAGTTGAGAGAACTTTTCACTTGGGTTTAGATATTCACCCAAGGTCTTGCTTCTCTCGGTTTAATCGCTATTACAGCATATCAAGAATAACAAGTACAAATATATGAATCAACATACAAATAGCAAAAGTAAATTCTATTATTTAAATATATGTTTCAAATCAGTTGTAGGGTGTGTAATAAGATTTACAATAGTTGAATGTGTTGGTAGTGCAGCAATAGCAATCTACTGAGCGCAAGCATATGTGAAAGATATTTCCCTGCCTATTTCTACTCAGTATGTTTAGAAATGAGCCTTGAAAAAAATATTTCTACCCTTTTTAACATTCATTTAAAGAAATTTTTTTTTTTGTAAAAACTTCAAATTATTATGCAGTGGGAAAAGACATTTGAATGTCCTTTTTAATTTAATCACTGAGTTTTGTGGACTTTCTGTGTATTGCCTCTGTATTTTGGCTTAAACTGTTTTTTATAACATGTAAGGCCTTACCTTGAAACCTCAGGATTTTGCAGTCTGGGATTAAAGAATACCAATTCATTCATTTTTTCTTCATGCATCAGCTGGCAAAATGTCCCAACACAAAAATAATTTTCAAGACCTTCATAGGCTATGTGAAATTAACTCCTCTCTTTGCCCTTCTGAAATTCCCACCAAATGAAATTGAGTTTGTGAAATTAACTCCTCCATGTGAAATTAACTCCTCCCTTTGCCCTTCTGAAATTCCCACCAAATGAAATTGAGTGCATATAGATTAAAAAAAAAAAAATATCTAACGAGTCTTCTTCTAAACACATTTGACCAACTTTCTGTAGAAGTTCCTCTATGACACCCTGGACGCCTCATGGCAATATATTTATGCCAGTTCTAGATGCAATGTTTTGTCTTTGGATCTCCAAATTGTTTTGGAGCATATGTAAATGGGACTTAACTTCTGAGGGAAAACCAAACCAACCTTGGTATACTTATCAGAAATAAAAATAGTATTGAGCTGGCTTAATTGCTTCCAACTAAAGGCCAAAGCTGATCTGAAGCACAGTCACCAAACTGGCATATCCAAATTGATTATCCAGCAGATTTGATGGGATATTCACTGTTTTTAACTGTGATGTGGGCTCCCAGCACATACCAAGTTCCTGTAGGTAGCTGAAAACTATTTTTATAAAGTTCACCTGTGCGACACTTAAGGTACTTAAATACAGATCTGGGAGGGGAGATTGTATCTGTGTAGTACTACATAGCTGTCTAGCTGGTTCTGTTCATGTGCTCTCGATATATGGGTTTTATGACTAAAAACCCAATAGCTGTAGTGGCAGTCGACCTTTCGTATTTCTGCAAGCAGTGTTCTTGCCATGTGATTGTTTTATTACAT